TCCACAAACTGCATGTTTAAAATCTGGTCCTATGGCCTTTGACTTTTGAGAACTGGGACTTCTCAAAGATTTTAAACTCAGAGGAGGAAATTAACTTTTTTTGGCCTCGGTCTCACCCCAGCTTGGCATGAACTGATTGAAAGAAGGTTGTATTTCCCTGCCCCTCTACCCTGTCTGGAATAAACCCTGCTGGAAAGAAAAACTTCCCTGGGTAAATAGGAATGAAAAGCACTGACATTTAAAACCTGGAAATGCTAAACCTTGTTCCACTGGAACTTATGACAAAAATAGTTACCTAATGCAGCAGATGAAACTGAGACACATTTATACAGCTTAAATCAAGGCTGAAAGTCAAAAATATTTCCCAATTCCCTATGTAATTTTAAATATTGTCTCTTTCTCATTCATACTGTCTCCCAAGTTTAGACATCGACAACTACTGTCAGTTCAATTAGGTTTTCCTTTGGATGGCTATATTGTAAGATAGTTCATCTAAAGAACTATTTCTTTTTCTTACTGCTTTGTTTTTTATTCTTCATGTCTCACAATTTCCTTCCTCCTTTTTGGCCTACAGGTGGTGCAACAACAGGAATCTTCATTTTCCTAAGGAGTCATCCATAGCATCCAGACCCACACATCAAGGCTGATCATGCTGTAACCACAAAGTTTAGAGATGGTCTAACCCTTGGCTTTCTAAGGTCAGACAAAAAGTGAGACAACAGAGAGATGCAAAATGTTGGGAAGGAAGCTGTTTACACGGTGCAGCACAGCCAGGCCAAGTCTGCAGCCTCCCTGTCAAATGCTGCTCTACCCACTCCAGCTCTGCACAGTGGATGAAGTGGCAGCAGCCTTCACTGCTGAACACAGTACCTGTATCTGACCCTTTCAGGGGCTTCTTCCTTTCAGTGCTCAGGCTAATCACCACAGCCTGTGCAAGAAGAGTATTTCACGAGCTGGCCTTCACATATTGCCTGGCCTCTTGAGAATTCAGTACTGAAAGCCCCTGTGCATGTCAAGACTCAGAACACCCACCACCAAGGAGAGTTTCCTTGAAAGCAGCTTTACAGCATCTTACATGAGTAATAGCTCACACATTACAAAGAGCCAATTTCATCTTTCAGGATCAGATCACGTCACTGTTTTCTGGACTCTGCTTAGTTCAGCAATGAATAATCACAAGCTTATGTGATCTGGGATGTCTGTGTTGGCTGCCTGTGCTCCAGACGCAGAACAGGGATGCAATCTGACCATCGTAGCAGATGATACTATTTTGAAAGCACTGTGAAACTTCCAGGTTTCATCAAAAAGCAAGTTTAAGGGGCTGGGGAGACTCTTGCCCATGTAGTAATGGGAAAAAGGCACACCCTCCCAGTCATGAGGTGGACAGCAGCTGAACAGTCCTTCTCTATCTGCTCTGTGGCTCCCTCACTCCATCCTTCTGCTAGTAGCAGGGACTCAAACACAGCCACAGAGTAGTGTTGTTTTATGGGCAGTAAGATGCCAACTTACTTAGATAAGGATACCAGGTACCTGCACTGGGGGTGTGCATAGGGAGGAGACACCATTTTCCATTGTGGTTGTCTTACTCCCACCTAGGACTTCTTGCAGCATTGCATCCAAGGCTATTTTAAGTGGCTTTACTTGCTGACCTTGCTGCTCTGCTTGTCCTCTCCCTCACTCCAGACATGAAGCTGCCTGTGGCACAGGAGTCAGGAGGGTGACACAAGAAAGTAGCAGAATGTACCTGGATTGGTGGCCTGAAAAAATCCTGTGTTATAGCATTGTGACTGAGCTTCTGACACAAAACTCACACTGACAAGGAGCAAGTGGCACAGGGAATCAACCATTTCATGAGGCCGAGCGACACAGCTCTCAGGCTTCTCAGCTGGAAGCTACATTTACCCCCCTAAACCTGGGCACTGTTCTTCACAGCAGCAGGAGTTTGGTGATAAGCAGCAGATGGGAGTGGGGAGGATGGAAGTGTCCATCCTTCTGTCATCCTCAACCACATGATCACCAGCTGCCTCCCCGCCTGTGTGAAATCTGCTGCCTGAAGCACAAGAGAGGATGAGCAAACACCACCAGAGTTACTCCCAAGAGTTCGTATCACACATGTGAACACGGAGCCACACAGTTTGTCCCACCTACTGAAACACAGCCATGGAAAGAAGGAAAACGGGGAGGTAAGGACATGTCAGCTCTTCAAAAAGGAAGTTACTGAGAGCTCTGCTTGGACATCAAAGCACACAGATGCCTGCAGAGCTTTCCATGGCCTCACCAGTGCCATTCAGAGTGGGACATGGTGATGCTCACTCAGGCTGCTATCAATGAGAACATTTACACCGACTCCTGAGAACATGAAGAAATAGAAGAAATGGCTTGGTGCAAGAGCTGGAGAAGAGCACTGAATGGGACACACAGGAAGCAGCATAGGACAAAGATGGAATTAAGGGGGAAAACAGGGCTGGAGAAGAAAAAAGAGGATGTGGGATATGTAAGGGAAGTGGAAAGAGGAAGAAGTTTATACATCTTCATGCACCAGTCTGGCTTTGAGTGTGTCAGCTGTTTAATGCAGGAAAGAACTACTCCCAACCAGAGCCCAACTCCCCTCAAACCAGTCCTGAGCAGCAAATTCCAGTTCCTCAGGTTTACAGGCTCAAACAGAAGTTCAGGTGAGCACCCTGCAACACCCCTGGCAGGCCCTAGTCTGAACCACTAAACCAAAGTGAGAATACATGTGGTGCAGACAGAAATGACAACGGACAAGCAAATCATATGTAATTCACTACTCAGTTTGTAAGAACTTCTGGCTTTGTTTTGAGTTTTACTATCAGCTTTTTACTCATATGCTTTAAATGTTGCAGTTCAGATAGAAACAGTTTCAGAAAGATGAGTGCGATGTGAGCTGGTACAAGGAGATGGCAGGGAGGATCTGTGAGATGTATCACAGCAACAATGGGTCAGTATTTGACAGTTCAGACAGGACTAAAGTCTTGGACTCTTCTATACAGCCACTACTGACTTCCTGTCAGTAGTTCCTGGACCCCCTCCCATGATACAGGTTCTTTTCCCTCCTCCAAAACTTAACATATGCAGCTTTTTTGGCTTTAGGGATGAACTGTTTGATATGAAGGAAGGTAATACTGTCCTTCCTCTGTAGGCTATACAGGGCTTGACAGGCATAAAAAAGGAACAATCTAAGGCTGCTGCTTTCAAAGAGCCCCAGAAGAGTCAGGAACCCAAATGGTACATTGGCATTTGAAGATGTGCACTTCAAGGCTTTGAAACCCTTCAGACAAACCACTCATACTACCCACAGAACACAAGACATGAGGAGCAGAACTGCTGAGAGGGAAGAGGCCACTTTCAGAGCAGCAAGTCAGGCTGGTAACTCTTGGCAGCCAGTGAACTACAGTTCTGTGTCATGTCTAACAGCCTGGGTGGGCTGACTGAAGACACTTGGCCAGCCCCTAATGACTCCTGACTGCTGATGCCCAAGTGGAACAGGACTAAAGAGTACAAGTGCCTGAAACACAGAGACAAGCTCACCTGATGGGTTCTGCTTACACCTCTTTTCTTTAGGTTTTTCTGTCCCCGAATGAACAGCTGTAATTGTGGTGAATGCTTGGATTAGTACAGAGTTGTTCCTCAAAACACAATCACAGTAATTTAGTAACAAACAACTTTTTTCCCATTCACTACCATCCACTCTGCTGCTGCATGTGGGTTTTCCAATACCACATCATTCCTTTGCAACATAGATCCAGAAAGCCCTTTATTTGCTTCACAGGCAGACATAAACCACCCCCAACAGATGCTGTGAAACCTGCTCCAGTGAGAAATCCCTTCCCTTCCTGGTCCATCCCAGCCAGTGGCATTGGGAACACCACATATTTTGGTACTCTTGAATGGGGAATGGAGGGAGGCCAAGCCTTTTCTGCTGGCACATCATTTATCTCTGCATTGAGATGCTGAAATTACATTTCATCTGGTCTGTCTGTTACGCTCCAGTTAGGGAACATAATAGAATGGCAGTGTCCCACCTGAAGGCACCTGAAGGCAGGACAAAAACCTTGTAAGCTCTATAAATGGCGTACCTATACAAACTTGTCTAGCCCAGTGGTTATGTTTAGTTACTACCACCTGGAGTTAAAACTCAAAGGGAACCCCAGAAGTAGAGTAAATTTTAATTCCTTTTAGCACATATATTTCAGTCCTACATCTACACATCTGGTATGCTGTGACCTCTGTGTGGTAGTGAACTCGCAAACAGTCGGACTCTGGTTATGGTGATGTGTTAACGAACTGCCACATTTAGGATCACCGTGACATACAAACTGCTGTTCTACTCAGAGTCCTTGAACTTCTCTTGCTTGTTGCAAAAAGCTTTGCTTCACACAGACTTCACTGATGCATAGGCAAAGAACAAGAACTGCTTCATCTCCATCCATATTCCCCTTTCTCTACATCTTTGATCCCCACTGAAAAATCTATGCTAAAGTACCTGGACCTTGGGAGCAGGATCCCCAATACCACCTTTTTTACATGCTTGGAGTGCCATGAAGCTGGAGAGGAGCGAGAAGAGGGCACTACCCCAGGAAGGCTAGCAGCTTGCAAGCTTAAAGAAGGTACCCAAATAGTTCAGCAATCACCAACCACAGCTGACTCCTGCTCTGGAGAGACCTGCGACAAGCAACAGCAGGAGGGAGAGAACACACTTACCGCTGGAGTTCTGAGAATTGCTGTTTGTTTCTTCAAAGTTGTTCTGTGCTTTGCCTTCCACTCTCCTG